AGTTCGGGCGGAGCCGAACATTAAATACCCGGCGCAAGTATTCAGTATAGTTTTATCACCTTTCCGAAAACTACCGCTACATGGTAAGCAGTGGTGGTTTTACGTCTCTTTCAAACATCTTCGATAGAACGTTCAGTTAGATATAATGAGATAAACTTATATAGATATATGTGGGCCGCACCACGCCCATTTTCCAAAATTCCATAATAATGTTACTTCTTTTCAAGGGATTGTTGTTAGTATAAATTTTGGGTAAATTTAAATAAATTTCGATATTAAAGTTTCAAAAAAATATGAAATTTACCGCTATAAAAAAGTGGGCGTAATTTTAGTCAGATTTCAAAACTTTCAACGTTTTGCCTTTATGTGCCAACCATAATAATTATACCGAGTTTGGTACACATTGATCGAGCGATTACCGAGATACACATACGTGGTTATAAGTGGGCGCAATCACGCCCATTTTCCAACCTTTTATTACAAGCCTATTTTTTGCTAAAGAAATATTGCAAAAATCAATTTTGAATAAATCAGCTTCAGTATTTACTAATCTATAGAAGCTTTCGTATTTCTCTAAATTACCGTTATATGGGATGTGGGCGTGGTTATCTTCCGATTTTGCCCATTTTCAATCCCATCCGTCCAACGCTCAAAAGAAGTACACATACCAAGTTTCGTTAAGATATCTCAATTTGTAGTCGAGTTATCGTGCGCATAGATGGACGGACGGACGGACAACCAGTCACCGCTTAATCGATTTCTTTTTCATTCTGATCATTTGTGTATATATTTGTCTATATCTATCTGCCTGTTTTGCCTGTTACAAACAGCCGTTATGTGAAGAAATTTATAATACCCTTGTGCACAAGTGCGCTCGGGTATAAAAATACTTGACATCCGCATCCGCGGATGTTAGCATTTAAAGATCCGCATCCGCATTCGCACCCGCGGATGTCTAAAATTCCATATTCGCAACATCCCTGATTCGTACCTCGTCATGGTCAGGCGGAGGAACATCGGCTCCGTCATCATCGACTGCGGGCTCGGGTGCTTCTTCTCCACAACTTTCCGTGCTGCTACCATTCAGTAGGGCGGAAAAGTGTTCACTCCATAATTTAAGTACGCTCTGAATATCGGTAACTAGGTCGCCATTGTTGTTCTTACAGGAGTACACCCTGGCCTTGAAACCTTCCGTAAGTCGCCTAACTCTCTGGTAAAATTTTCGGGCATTCTTCCTGTCGGCTAGCATTTCAAGCTCTTCGCACTCACGTATTTCGGCCTCTTTCTTCTTATTGCGGCAAATACGGCTCGCTTCCCTCTTCAGATCCCTATAGCGGTGCCACATAGCGCGCGTTGCGCCCGATCGAAGCGTGGCCCTGTAGGCGGCATCTTTTTTCTCTGCAGCTTCCTGACACTCCTCATCGTACCAGTTGTTCTTTCGGGCTCGCTGAAATCCGACTATTTCTTCGGCGGCGGTACTTAATGAGCGAGAAACGTGCATCCACTGCTCGCATGTGTCGCTTTCTTGAAGAGCGCTCGGTGAGAGCAGGTGTGAGAGTCAAGTAGCGAATGCATTGGCTGTCTGTTGTGATTGCAGCTTTTCGCGTTAAGCTTTCCTTGCATATTTGGGCGCACATTTTTTGCTGCACAGAGGCGGGTGCGTATCTTGGCTGCAATAAGATAGTGGTCCGAGTCGATATTTGGGCCTCGGAGAGTATGTACGCCCAAAAAACTGGAAGCATGCCTTCCGTCTATCACAACATGGTCGATTTGGTTTCTCGTTTTTCGATCCGGAGACAGCCACGTAGCTTGATGAATCTTTTTAGCTTGAACTTAGTACTGCATACTACCATGTTTCGGGCCCGGCGAAATCGTTAAGCCTCAGCAACCAAATACACGTTTATATAGCGAGCCACTTGTTCCAAGACAGATACCCGCTTGCAGCCGCACCTACTGCTGAACAGACGCTGCACCCTTCAGTGAGCCCTTAAACCGAATAAGTCGGAGTGGCCCCACCGAAGCTTCCTCTCTTTCTGCTGACCCAAGGCTTCACTCGGATTGGTTACTGCATCTCGCAAATGGGGTGCTCAGAGCGCGAGAACGAGAACGCAAGAGTCGAGATTGAGTATAGCCGTGCAACTGTAACTGCATACACAGCACAACTACTATACCCCATCACTTGTGCGAAAAAATAATAATGTGACGTCAGCATTAGCGGTCCGCGGAAGGCGCACTTAAAAAAAATTTAGGTTCCAGTTTTGTAGCTCATTTAATTCTAGTAATAAAGTGGAAGTTTCAGTAGGGTAAGAATTCGGGTTGATTTTTGATATTTTTTGCCGAATTTCCCTCAGTTGATGTATCACCTTTTGACGTTGGGAAATTAAACTATATATGCCGTGGCACAAAGTCTCAATGTTTTTCGAAAATTTTTTACAAGCGTAGCTTTAGCAAAGCTGAAGTTAGTGGCATGTGCACTTTATATAAAATAAATCGGTTTCTGCAACCAATAATGTTTTCAGCACGCCCAAGTTTCCAGCCAAAACATTGGCTCCATCAGTGGCCAAACCAATTAGGTTTCTTATTTTTAACCGATCGTTTTTTTTTTTGCTAAAAATTACTTGTTAATGGATTGGCAAATGTTTCAACTATCCGACCAAAATCTTACTTTGCCTACCAACCTACCAAATGAAAAGGAGGGGACTAAATTTGGACGGTAAATTCCAATAGTGGCAACACTGAATGGATCGTTTAAATGTAATTTTTTCCCATTTAGTGAGTTCATTTCTAAAATTTCTCAATCCTCGTGCTAGTAGTATAGAATTAATGATACTCAGCCCGATAACCAAAGAAAACACGACTATTGTCGCTAGTGTAAACGAAAGGAGATTTTGGGGCGTTCATGTAACAGGGTGCTTAAATTTTAAATAATATCTGCTTGATAAAGTTATCGGTTTAGATGAATACCACTACCATTTCGGTTTCACTTTTTTCTGAAACACCTATACATTAGCGTGGGCCGAAAATCCGCTTTTTTAGAATTTTGATTGGTAATAGCAAAAATATGATTCATATGCTTAAAAAAAAATCTGTGTGAAATTTGGAATTTTTTGGTCAATATCCTAGGCTCGCCCAAGTCCATCAAAGTTCAATATGCTCAAAAAATAAAAATAATAAATAAATTAATTAATACTTTTTTTTACTAAAATTGCAATAATCTTCGAAAGTATTAGTCCTACATAATTTGGTATATGGACCTTTTTTTAAAGAATCAAAGTTAGCTAAAAAAAAAAATTTTTTTTAGTACTTGAACTTTGGTGGACATGGGCGAGCCTAGGATATTGACCAAAAATTTTCACATTTCACACAGATTTATTTTAGAGCATAATGAACCATATTTTTGCTATTACCAATCAAAATTCTAAAAAAGCGGATTTTCGGCCCAGGCTACTATACATATATTATATCATAGGTGGGCAAGCCCGAGGCCGAAAGGAGCCACATGTAAATTCAAAATGCTACACAGAGCCACAACAAAAACAAAAGTTTTAATTTTAAATAAAATTATTAAATGAAATGAAAAACATTAATTTTATTATTATTCTAATGTACGTAAGATAGATATTAAAGAAAATTCAAAGGATCCCTTTGGCCAAATTTTCAAAATTTTGTTTAACGTCAGTTAAAGCCGTTCGTAACAGTTCTGTTAAATGATGGTTAGTAAATTGTGAACGGTATTTTAACTTTAAGAATTTCATTGTAGAGTACAAATACTCACGTAACTATGTGTATGTTGTACCACAAATTGAAAATATACGACACGCAGCTGCGTTCAACAGCGGATATTTTAAATCTGGTACTTGTTGCGGAATTCAAGCAGTGGCAAAGCTTTATGTTGCATTTCCAGTGCCTTATCTTCTTTTAATTCCAAAAATTTCAACTCTTGTTCATTGTTAATTCATCCTCAATCATGTTACATAAAAAAAGGTTTATGAAGTAAGCAATCGTACATTTATTTAAATAATTTCAAATCGGCAAATCTTTTCTCAAAATCTGCTTTTAAATCATGCGCAATATTTTTTTATAGCCATGGAAAATTATGAAATATTATTTTTTTGAGATCGAGTATTAAAAAAACATAGTTTTGTTTCAAAACTTCAAATAATTTTCGACAAATCAAAAACATTTTTATTCTCTCCTTGTGGAGACAAATTCAAGTTTTGCAAATGTTCCATCATATCGGTAAAGAACATTAAGTCGCAAAGTAAATTTTCATTCTCCAATTGCGGGTAATGTTCCGGTCTCAATTTGCGTATGTGTATATAAAAAGGAATAATATAAAGTAAAAACAGCCAAAATGTTCTAAGAAAAGAGAAATTAAAAAGAGCCGCATTTGGCTCAATGAGCCGCGTTTGCCCACCGTTGTAATTATTATCTGAACATACACTAGAATACTTTTCACCATTAAGGGCCATTTTCACCATCTCTGGTTAACACTAATCCCCAGTTAAACATCGTTACCGACGCTACCGACACAATGTTACATGCATGGAGTCAGTAACGTCGGCAACGATGTTTAACTGGAGATTAGTGTTAACCAGAGATGGTGAAAACGGCCCTTAGGGCTGGTTTCTCAATATCTGGTTAACACTAACTGCAAGTTAAACCAGGTTATCGACTCCCTGTTATATGCATGAAGTCAGTAACGTCGGTAACGATGTTTAACTGGGCTTTATTGTTAACCATAGATGTTACCTATAGGACCGGTTGTTCAATGTCTGATTAGCACAAATCGGAGGTAGAAGCTCCGTTTAAATACAACGACTGCTTTATCGATCACATGTTATATGCATGATGCCGAAAACGTCGATAATGATGTTTAACCAGGAAGCAGTGATAGCCAGACATTGAACAACCGGCCCTAAATGTCTGACCGCATGAAAGCAAGCTGCATTGTGTGTGCAGTTTCATCAATGTTTTCGCTTTTCTTTTTTTCATCATAGCCGTTTACAAGAGACCACTATCACAATGGTGACGAATGGCAATCAGAATGGCGGACCGCTCACCGACATGTCCGACGTTGCTTTGGCCAGCGAATTTTGCGATCATTCATATCACTACCAACAACAACATCAGGCGCAACCACCGCGTCAGCAACAATATCGTCAGCTGGCACTCATGTGATGAAGCCAAATAAAGGGGCGCTGCCATCAGGCCAAGGCAGATACAATTGAAACAACACCCGAAGCAACAACAACAACGGTTTGCTGCCCGAATATAAATGATGCAGTTGCTACAACTACAACGGCTTCATTGCTGACAAGTTTAGGAACACCCGCAGGATGTATCGACTTGCGCAACTTAACTGTTTTGAATGGACAACGCCCTGCAAGTACCGCCGATGAGCCAGCGTTACAAGAGCAACAACAAAATCAGCAGCAAAAAAACATAAAGCAGCAGCGACGCATACATTTCCACCTCGTTGGGTGCACGCAAATTTAAAAGCCCGGCCACAAATTACATGTTTCCGTTAAAGCGTGCTGAGGAATTTAAGTACAGGAAAATACAGGACAAAGGATTTGAACCTACATTTAATGTAAGTTGTATATGTATATAAAACTAAATGTAAACGTGAGTTTACTCGTACTTTCTTTGAAAACAACGATTATATACAATTTTAACAAAATTATATTCTTAAAGAACTTAAACATAATAAATTAAGCGAAACATCGTATTATATGTACATATATGTATGTGTAGGTAACAAAGTATTTATATCAGGGTTGTACACTTACACAAATTTTCACATTTTTTATACTTACATTGTAAATAATTGTAAAATATTAGGTGTATTCTCCAAATCTTGCAAAGTCATTGCAAGTAGCACGGATTGCATAACTTGCAAACACACAACAAAAAAATACATGGGAAACAACATTTCCTATCGCTGCAAAATATACAACGTCGAAACCCATGTATATATTTTGCCAAATTGCATACCAAGATAAATGCGACCCTGTGCTAATTATTTTGTTGTTGGAATTACTACATATTTCTCTCATTCCTCTCATCTCGCTCACTTCTCTTTTTTTTCTGTCTCTTGTTATTGTATTTGATACATAATTTCGCTGCTTGATGCCCATGCATGCTACCACTTTGCAATGGGGTGCTCTCGTACTCTTTGAAATTGGGAATAGTGGGTGCATTCAGATATGCATCAAGCCAAAGCATCAGTCTCTTTTACTTCTAAACTATAATTGATNTCTTTTTTTTCTGTCTCTTGTTATTGTATTTGATACATAATTTCGCTGCTTGATGCCCATGCATGCTACCACTTTGCAATGGGGTGCTCTCGTACTCTTTGAAATTGGGAATAGTGGGTGCATTCAGATATGCATCAAGCCAAAGCATCAGTCTCTTTTACTTCTAAACTATAATTGATGGAAATGCCTTATTTACGCAACTAAGTTCCAATTAGGCATTTAATCGTGGTTGCGCATTTCCATCAATTATAGTTTAGAAATAAATGCGTCTGATGCTTTGGCTTGATGCATTTCTGAACACACCCAGTATTTTTGCATTTCGTGCAAACCGTGCATTCGGCAAGACTTCGAGAATGCCCCTATTGTAAACAATTGTAAATTGGAAATTATTTACATTATTTACAATAATTTACAATTAAAGAATTATTGTAAAAAATGTAAATATTTTACAGGCACAACCCTGGCTGAAACACACAACAATATTTACCAATATTTACATTGTTTACAATTATTTACAACAATTTACAATTACTTATAACTGCTTACAATTATTTACAAATGTACATTATTTCCACCAAAAGTATCGCCCTGTTAATATTTACGTTATTTACAAATAAAGAATTGTAAATATGTAAATATTTTACAGGCACAACCCTGATTTATATATGCAAGTTTGCATTACATTTGTACATGTGTAGTTTCTACGCTTTTTGCTGGAAACTTCCGAAGTTCATGGTCTATTTTAGTAAATGAATACTTAAACGTTTCATTAATATTTGTACAGCATCTAAATATTGTATTTTAATAATATGGTTTGTAATAAGGTTTCTCTTTATATTAATTATATGTATGTACATATGTTTATCTAGATACATACGTATGCCTATGTGTACGTTTTTTATGCATTAGATGTATGAATATTAAATTCCAGTCTCAAGTATTGCTAGCTAGTCTGTTCCTTTACCTGTCAGATTTGTGTGTACGGGAAGGAATTCTGACTAAATCCTGTAAATCTGACTAGGAAAGGAGTCGACTAAATAACTAATTTATGTAACTGCATACTATTATAAACATTCAAGTGAATTGAACTAAATGGAATTTATAAATATTTCACTTTCATGTTATCACATATAGCAAACATGTGAAAATAATAACAATATTTAAAAACTATTATTATGTGCATACAATCATATGAGCAAACGAAATGTGAGGGATAAATGCGCAGCCTAATATTACATTTACGTTGGACCCAATGTCGTGATTTGAAATCAGTCATTTGAATGTGTTTACATTGCTTGATTTGCATTTTCTTTGACTTCTCATGAATTGAAAAGGGAAAACAAAACCAAAATGAATGTAAATAAATACTGAATGGCTCATATATTTTAACATGTTTTGGACACAAATTATGCAATTATTCTTTGATTAAAGTAAAATGTGTTATCTTATGTATAAATCAACAATTTGTATACCCAAATTTCAAATATTTATTGTTTTCGTCGTGTTTGTTTTGATTTTGAAAAATGCCAAATGTGAAAGACAAAGGCGTTTGAAGAGCTTTTGTTTTTGTGTGAGTTCAATAAAATATCCCATCCAAGGCATATCAAAAAGGCATACGAGCAAAAACAACATTTGCGTGTATTTTGTTGTTGCTTCTGGTATCGAAAGTGTCAAAAACTGTTCTGATTGTTTTTTTATCACCGAAGTTTTATTTACCGAAGTTTTGGTGAAGTCACTTGATGACTTAATTTTTCAATGCAATCACAAAAATATTTGTAAGAATTTGTATACAAACGATATGTTATCATTAATAACAGCCTATTTATTTCAAAAGCATCTAAATTATTTAGCAAATTACAAACAAAAGGAACTTATTTTTAGCAGCGACAACTGTTCAAAGCTGTCGTCTGATAGACGTCCTCGACGTGGTGTGTTAAGTATTGAGGCAAACAAAAAGAGTCTTTCCACGGCGGCTGAGGTAGGCAGGGGTGCGTTGTATTTAATGTATGCCCTTTTAGCAGTAGGGTAGCGGTTCAGCATAGCACTTTGTCCTAATTGTCGCCAACGTAGGTAGAAAGAAACCGTACACCATACCTTTATCTTTTTGTAAAAACCTTATAGTATCGGCGATTGGTTGCAGCAATTGCAAATATTCCTCCATCTACCTAATACCGCTCTCGCGGAATGTCGTCAATTCCAGTTTTTCACTCAAAGTACTCAGTTTCTCTTTGCGTGAAATCAAAGCGAATTCCACCTTATTACAGCGGGACATTGCAATTGTGAGCCTAACGCAGAAACAATTTGCTCTGAAGATTTCGGTATGTTTAATGTGTTCCACAGATTAGAGCATTTCTTCATTAGCTTTTAAAAATTGCCCTTAACTTTTAATAATCCCACTGGTCTTGGAAAATTATTAAATTTTTTGTCACAATAACAATACAAATTATAATAACTTACTAATTGTTTTTCATATGTATGTTCTTATGTTCAAAATTCTTAGTATATCTGTCGAGTCAGTAAATTTAGGGTGTGGGTCAAACATCTAATATACCTTGCCAATGACTTTTCAGAAAAATTACTGGACAACTTTTCCAGTTCCATTTCTTCCACAGCTTCAGTATCCTCTGTGCCATTATCGCTTTAACAAAATTCTACTCATTATCGGTAACACTTGCAACAACTTTACGAAGTAGTTTATTACTCGGTACATTTAACCAATGTCATGCATAATGCAAGTCGCTTATTACAGCAAATGTAATTAAAAGATTGTTTTTTTTTCAAGAAAAGTAGAAGAGTAGAAATTAAAATTTAATAAATATGTTGTATTACTTATTCATGTAATACAGGTAAAATGCGGGTTGCTGACTACAACCCAACTATACCTGATTCCAAATGACTTCAATTGAATTCAAATGATTGCAATCAAGTGACTAACAAAAAAAGACTTCAAAAATTAATAATTAGTCGCCAAAATTATTCTAAAGAGTGTCTTCATTTTTTTAGTCTTAGTCATGGAATACAAAAATTTTTTGCTAAAAAACCAAGTGACTCATTATTCGCAAATGATTGCATTCTTTTACATCTCTGGTCCCTAGTAGCTCAACTTTGGATATGTCTTTTGTGCCAAGTTTATCATTTCTATATTCTTCGGGAATTTTAAGTGAATCTTTTATAATATGCAGCTGTCCGTTTATTTCAGCAGCTAGCTTTCATTCCACCAAAATTCCTTCTTCTTATATTTCTGGTCTCTTCTTCAGGTAGTCTAATAAAATGAGATATTATGGTCACGGTTTCTAACTTTTGGATTCTTGAAACCGGGACGCATAAAAAGTCAGTCCTTTTGCTCGCCCGCAGGTGCCCGAAAGTGGTCAATTTGTGTCTCTTTGGTTGATTCTGAGCTAGTGATATTTGCTTCTCACTAGCCTGAAGTCAGCCGGGCTATTTTTCTGGGCGAGTTTGTGAAAACCGGAAGTAATTGCAGAGCACCATCGATATGTAGTCCTCTCTTGGCCATAAATTTCGCACTTACGCTCATTTGCCCAAAACTAGCCCTAAAAATAGAATATTTATTAACAAAAAATCACCAACATCATCAACCACATGGTCAAATCTAAATAGCAGCAAAATAGCTGCCCGAAATAACAGCTATAACTTCGATCAAAATGTAAATTACTGTTGTTTTTCCACAAAAATGTTCATTAATAATAACGGCCTCAAGCTTAATCAAATTGTTGAATATAATTGTTATAAGACCATAAATAACAAAAAAGAAAGTAAAATTTCATATACAAAAAAATTTCATAAAACGAAGCTTCAATGATAAATTACTAAATTACTTAAAAAGTTTACTAAAATATAAATAAAAATGTACGTATACTGCCGCACTAAATTATTGGCACAAGGAACTTTTCACAATGTATGCAACATTTTTACTTAAAATTGTCGGCGAATTTTTTATAAAAATATTTTTTATACTACAACAAAAAATATAAAAAATCTCTTTACTTCGTGCAAAACTCAGGTAAATTCCATACATTTTCCTACACGTTGGCATTTTAGTATATCAATATGCCAGTTTGAAGTTAGTAAAAAATCGCATTGACCTTTGGGAATTTCTCTGCAGGTAATTTCTTGCAAACAAAACAAAATATCGGACATACTTTGTTTGTACTTCATAGTTTGTACTTTTACTCTGCGGCGTATAGTCGCGATTAGTAAATAGAATATGTAAAATGTAAATATTTAAGTATTTAAAGAGACCTAAATTTTTTACAACGAGATGTCTAAATTAATTTCTTGCCGAAAATCGCGACGGTTTGCCATATTGTACCGGGACCGGGACATAGCTCTTAAAACCGGGACAGTCCCACCGAAAACGGGACGGTTGGCAACCGTGATTATGGTCATTAATATAATATGGGGAAATAAAAAAAAATGGGTTTAATATGAAAAAGCTTTTATATGTTTAAGTTTTTACCATGCAGGCATTAGTGTAGTTTTCTGTTGAAAATGTTTGACACTGGAGCAGTTGGAAGCTGAATAATTTATTTTGTACATGTACAGGGCTCGGAATTTCAAATG